ACATGTGCAATCAAAAACAGAAAGCGGTGAAAGCAAAGAACCTTATATTTGTTAAAAAATGGAAGTAAACAACGAAATATTTGAATATGTATAGATTCTAATAATTATTTAGTGATATTTCAGCCAAATCAGTGTAGTACCAATGACATGTAAACAAACCGTCTGACGTTTTTACAGGAAATAGTGCTTTTTGCGTTCCTATGCACTTCTGCATCTGTTCTCCTTTTACTCTCATTTGAGAGAGCAAAATTGTAGTTTGACAGTTCCACAGGTTTTAGTCCGAAGTTCAAAGGAACAGACTAAAAATTTGCAAAAACTTGCAACCTTCGAAACAGCTGATCACTTGCACAGTTGCCACTGGTGATTAATTTGGCAATTTATTTACTGCTTGGTGCATTTTCCTCCGATTTGGCATTTTATACATTTGAATAGTTTTGGATAAGAAAAACCTTTTTAAAATACGATTTAATTATATCGGAATGAATAAGTTATTTTTCTCATAATTATTTTTGACATCACATGGTGACGCATTAAAAACAATAGTATCTCCTCCAAACACCCATCATTGATCCAAAAAAATGTAATAGAGTAGGTTTAAAATTATAAAATTTTCATTTCAACAATCAACCTACCAAAACCGAAAACTTCAGCAAAACAACATATCAGCATGCTGCATTTAAATCTATTTTGGTATATTTAAAGGTAAATTATGGTACAAACGAAAAATGTCATACGGCAACCATAGTCAGCACACACTAAACTAAACAAACTGGAGATTAATAGCAAATTAACGAAAAATAAACTCAATGAATGTTGTGTTTATTAAATTTACGCACTTTTTAGTTGTATACTAGCATTAATAATAAAAATTGCAATAATAACTCAAAAAGGCCATATTTTCTTTTGTTTATTTACAAACATGTGTTTGTGATCAGCTGATTTTCTTACTTGCAAGTTTTAGCTGGAAAAAATTTTTCCAGCAGAAATTTGCAGCTCTCTTGCACATTTTGCTCTCTCAATTTCCCCTACTTTGCAAGTTTTTTGGGTATGAGAACGCAAAACCAGTAAAAGTTTTCTAAAACTTTAGATAGTTGGGCGTACGACTACACACCTATTGCCTTGATAGGCGGTATTTTCTATAGCTATTATTTTACAAATCTGTTGTTTTAATAACGATTTAACGATTTGTATGCATAAATCTCGATGCCTGGAGCTCAGGGTTACCAAATCTCATTTTTGCCACAACGGCGATTTAGGCGGTTTTGTAACTGGTCGATGGGCGGTTTTGCAAAAACATAGATGATATGTATCTCTTTTCAAAAAAAAACTTAAAAAACACTTCAAAAGATACATATTGAACTGGCCGAACAAAGCATTTTGTCAGTTTGATTAACTTTTTTTATTACATTAGGGCAATTTATCTAAACGCGTAATAATGGAAAATTGGTTTATGCATTTACACCTTTCCATGAATATCCATATTGGATTTCAAAACAATTTTTTTTCTAGAAAAATTATACTGCCATTTGCAGCATAATCAAACACACTTGAGTTTCTATAAACCTTTAAAACAAAAAAATTTTACTTCCGAACCTAATTCCACGTACTATATGATATGGCTATGTACATATGTAAGTATATAATGCTGTAAAAAAATAATGCTGTAATAAAATAACATAAAATAAAATGTGCAAGTCAGAAACAAAGAAATTTACTCATTAAAAAAAAGAAATACTAATAATAATATTTTGGCGCTTACACTTTTGCTTAAGTGTTTTGCCGTGCTTCCCCTCCAATTTATGGTGTGCCTCCTTGTGGTATACAAATGAAGGGACCTACATTTTTTACGCCGCCTCAAAGTGGCAAATGGTTTTCATGACATGATTTTTCAAGCCGAAATACACTTGGGTGATCGCTATTAGACAAAATTGTTTCTAATTTAGATGTTGCTCGAACCAGGGATCCAATCCAGGTCTAACGTAGTGGCAGTACGCACCTCTAACCACTCAGTCACAGTGCCCGCCTATAACAAAATTCATATACATAACTGCAAATTTCAAAGTTTTTACAGAAAATTAAAAAAAAAATTAGAAAGTTGCATTAATTAGAATTTCTGGAAAAATTTTTGGTATTAAGTGGTGCACTTTCGTCCATATAAAAAATTGCACAATTATAGAATTCTGCAATTGTTTAGCAACTTCAAATTTATATTTAGCATACTAAAATTTAATATTATTATTTAATTAAATAAACTGCATACCAAAAATTAAAATTTAAAAGCTTGAAATTTTAACGCAACAAAGTTTGAAATTTGGATTTACATATGGGTGTTTCCAGCGGAAGTTACCGCGAAAAAAGAATAAAAGTTTAATATGGGCCGATTTGGAACTGGTGCAGCTACTAACAATCTAGGTGGGAGCATTGTTGTTGTTGTAGCGGATACAACAACCCCGCCCAAATCGGTTAGTCCCTCAATCGTTGTCGTCAAGCTCTACTAGCGGTAGCCCCAGGAAGCGTGCAGCCTCGACGGCGTGGGGCGTTGTTGTTGTTGTAGCAGCATACAAATTCCCCAAAGACTTTTTGGGGAGTGTTGCTGGAGTGACAGTCCTTGGCCAGATATAAGTCTGGGTCGTTCCGGTTACGTAGACCCGACTGTCGTGGGAACGTGGGGGCGTCGTCATTCGTGGTGTAGAATGCCGAACTGTCTATTTGATCAACCAATAGGTTTCCCCTATGATAATTTGTCAGGCTTAAATGCCAAAGATCATGGTGGGCGTTGAAGTCATCGGTTATCACGTCTGAGTAGCGCACCTATGTCAGGCTGATAATCTGCCGGGCAGCAGGTACGTTCTGTAAAAATCTGGTCAAACAGTTGTCTTTCACACAGTATCGTCGACAGGACCTTATAGGCAATATTAAGAAGGCTTATTCCGCGATAATTGGTGCAAAGGCTAGGATATTACTTGTTGTTGGGGATGGATAAAGTACGTAGATATATAAGTTTTCGGGCATGTTGTTTTTAAGCCGCCATGTTGCTGTCCTCACTTCGTCTTAGTAAGCTTCGTCCCTATATATTGGTTCATCAAACGCGCCACCTGTGTCGCCATTCAAAAGTGTTGATATCTAAGTCTTCCCTCCGTATCTCAAGTGTACTCTGGACCTGAAACCATTTGATTTCTGCCTTCTGTCCTGTGAATGCTGTTCTGGGCACACAACCCTCCGACGTGGACGAGACGGAGCTTCGTCTGCCTCGGGAGACTCGGACCATAATAACTCAACTTCGCTTCTACGGGGGCGGAAATAGGGGATTTTTTTTATTTATTTAAATAATATTATAGATTTAAAGACAAGCAACACGATTCCCTGTTCACAATTCGAAAAAAAAATTGAACACCTCAATTTAAAAAGAGTATTATTTTTTTGTTTGCATGTAGCTGTGCATCCTTCACACAATTTTATATCCCTCGAATAACAAGTGCGTTTTAGTGCAATTCAAGACCTTTAATTTGAGCCAAGTTAGAAGTCTCCAGGCCCCCTGAGAGCCAAGTTATAAGAATTTTAAACCAAACTTCGAAACCGCTGTAATAGTTTTTACTCCAAAATTAAAAAAAAAAAAATTGCATGAAATTTCGAAGTTTAATTTCAGAATCGTTATAATTTGGCTCTCAAAAGGCCTGAAATCTACCTTGGCTCAAATTACAGGTCTTGAATAGCACTAAAACGCACTTGTTGTTCTCCGTTTTTCGAAGTTAGCCTCCGAAATCGATAAATGGGCCTTCGAAGTTCTAAATTGGACCTTTGGTATTTTTAATTATTCA